CAATCGATGCCATGCGTGCCCTCACTGTCATACAGGTGTCGACGGCTCCGAGTTATCGATCTGTTCAATCAGAACCCACTGTATATGACATACGATAAGAGAAATTTGAAATCAATTATTAAATTAAAATTTTTTGTGTTCAGTGGTAGTCATACGGCCTGATCGGGGCGTTTGAAGGCCATGAGCGGTGTGTTAGGGTTGACACAGTCCTCCTCGTCCTCCTGTCCCGAGTCGTGTTCAGAGCCACCGGACGCCGGACTCAGCATTTTGTTGATCACATTCCGCGAGTCTGTGTTCACACAGTTATACTGTTTGGCGTTCATATCATTGATCTCAGTGGCGATGGTTGTGTCTAATCGGTTCCGCTTCTTGAGCACCGGCACCACAATCTCCACTTTCGGCTTATGATTCTCTTCCTGTCAGACCACAAATCACAGCTTTAAGTCTCATTTCATCAGAAAAATTTAATTTTTCTCAAATAAAACTCTTTGACACATAAAATGTGAACAAACTTTTTGCGGTATAATGTGGTTGTGTTTGAAAGAGTACAACATTTTTGATTGGTTTGTGGTGGACGGGCCCTGGGATGTGACGGCCAGGTCTTGCATATGAGTGTCGGTAATTTGGCACCGTTTTGATGGGAGGGTGCCGTCGTAGAAACATTGAGGGGGTGGGGGCACCAGAATCGTCAGGGGTGTCGAGCTGTGGTTGCAGACCGAGAACGAGCCCTCACTCTCCATCAGATCCTCGTTCTCCTCGATTACTGATGTCATCTCTGAAATCAGAAATATTTTTTAAGTTTATCTCTAAAATTAAATCTATTTTACACTTCAATTATAAGTCTTTAGAAAGTTTTGCTTGATTATAATTTTGAGCTAAAAATAGTCTATTATTTGGATTGATTTGAAAGATCATAGAATATAGGTATTAGTGATAGAAATAAATTCTCGAATTCTGTAATCATTTTTTCACTTTTGTTGTTGTTGTGAGAAAAATATATAAATTCTTTCACACAAAAAAAGCAATTAATTCCTACAAATCACTGATCTATTTGTGTGGCAAATAATTTGCCAATAGAAAGAAAAACTTTGAAACTCATTTAAAATTGAGATTTTAAATAAGATAAGAAAAGCAGTGTTTTATTCGCGCAAATCGTATTCACCTCTCATTTGCATTGAATCCCTAATTTTAATCGTATGACACGTTCCCTCTCTCTTATCGTAGTGTGAATTCTGCATATTTGATGGTTTCCTAGAGGTTTGGGTACAGCAAAAAAAATTTGTTACGAAATAAGTAAACCAAAAATCATTACTCAACACATATTTCGGAATTAATTTCAATAAATAATTTTATTTTATATATGTTTTCAATACTTCATTATAGATCGTGGAGTGGTTTTTATGCTTTCCGTCGGCACTACATCTCGATTTCGATCTGAAAAAGCAATTTTAAAACGAGTTTTAGTTATTTTATTTGTTTTAAAACGTAAGTAAATCTTCAATAAGATATTAACTTAATACGAGATTATAATACAATAGGGAAACAAAAATACTTTTTCTGGAGATTTGTCTCAAATATTTAATGGACTCTTACTCTAACTTTGAATCCACTATATTATGGTTATAAATGTTTTAAAAATTACTTTTGATTTCCTCTTCGGACTTGATTTTCATGATCATAATTATAATGATAGCCAACACAATGAGAGCTCCGACAACAATCATTAGCACCGTTAGCAGTGGACTGATTTCTATCGCCTCGATATCATCTGAAACACGGATTTGAGTATAAAAAGAGGAGAAAAAAGCAAAGAAATCAATTATTTATCGTAAGAGACAATTGGTGTTAATCAGTGGGAAGTGTTATATTGTGTAGCGATTTGTGTCTCAACTCAACACTTGATTCTCTGGCGAAAAATCAATGGATTTCAATATAATACTCGATATAATACTCGGATTTGTTGTGAAGTATTATATATAGATTAGACCCGACTTTCATATAAATTATCGTTTTAGTCTTTAGCCTCACATTCCCCTCACTTTTCGCGATACTTTCCGATGATTTAAAGCATTATTTTTCAAAAATTAAGACCACAGCTCGTTAAATAAGTTTATGGATTAAATACTGCCTCTTATTTTAAACATTACCAACAAATAGCTCCAAACATTTTTATTGTAAATAACATTTATTATTATTATTATTATTATAAATAAGTTAATATTAAAGTAATTTAAAGTTACTTTGCATTGAGGTAATAGATATCTACATTTAAATGTTAATTAAGATATTTTATTTTATTTATGAATTAATTGTTACATTCGCATCGGATTTAGAAAAAGTAATTTATTGCTGGAAATTAGAGCAGAAGTTAAGTTGAAATCCATGTCTGAAAAACTGATTACAAAAATAATGTGTTATTTATACTAATTGTCTGTATATTTCTCACTGAATTCTACAGAGGAATGTGAGCCTTAAATAATTGTCTTTCTTATTGATTGCGAATATCTTTTTTCCTTTTATTCGTTGTCTTATTTAAAGACAATTATAATATGGAAACAGAATATTCTTGTATTGTTTTGCGAGTCAAATGCATATAATTTAAATACAAACCACTTTTCCATTGTGCGGCCAACAGTGTATTTCCAGTAATGGTTATGCTTTTACTCTTTCCTTTCGTATTAGTCGAGTATAAAACCAAACGGAAGGCATAGCCGGCCGGCAGTCCATGAGCGGTGAAAAATGGATATTCCGTTGAACTCAAGTTCACTAAAAGGCGGTTTGGGTTCGCGCTGAACACTTCCAGATAGAAGATCTGATCCAAACCACCGGAATATCCGGGCAGGCATTCAATGGTGAGGGTGTGAGCGGTTATGTTTGTCAGCGAACAGTTATCGGGCGGATCGGGAGGTCCTTCACATCACAAACACAAACATAGTGTCAATAAACAAATCGATAATTTTTTTCCATAATTATATATACAGAATATTTCTTGTAATACAGAATATTGTGTAAATATCTAAGCATGCTAATTTCTAACCTGCTTGTATCACAAAGAAAACACAGGGCTCTCGTTGTTTGCCGGCACTATTCTGTGCCCAACAATACAGGCGTCCGTAATCCACGTCCTCCCGGGGCGTATACGTGGCCACACTCTTCCTGCCGTCGTTCACAAACTTGACGGCCTCTTGGCTTTGAGCGGACGTGCCGTTGAAAGTCCAGTTGAAGGTGACGTCGATGGGGTCGGCGTCCACCTCGCACTCGATCCTCGCCTCCTCGTGTTTGGCCACTCCGTAGTGCACTCTTAGCACTGATTTACAGACCGGAGAATCTATTTATAAGCGAAAGAAAGTCCGGAAAAGACGAAGAAAAACAAGAGTAAGAAATAAATCGATAGTCAGTGCGAGTGAACTGCAATCACAGACACAGCGATTGTACAGTAAATCTAAAGCCGATAAAAAGCCCACAAAAACACAGAATTTAAGCCTAAGTTTAGGCTTTTTGTGTGTTTGTTATTCAATACAGATATATAAGAGTCTTCAGTGAAACTCCACTATTGTCTGAAATGTCAATAACTTTCCGCTCAATTCTGGGTTAAAATATTTGTTTGTTTCGTATGTTTTAATGCGTTTTTTATTCAAATGCCGTGTTTTGCAGTGCATTTATCGGTGAAAACTGATCGCACAATAAATGCCAAAATCAGTTGCAAAAAAATCGGATTTCCATATATCACGGCTTACAGTGAATTTTGAGATTTACGACTTCACTCTCGCCCCGGCCCTCGTTGTTGACAGCATAGCACTGGTACTTTCCCCGGTGACTTTTGCCCACACTTTTAATTAATAACGAATTGTTTCGGATTTGTATTCCGAGTGTCGACTCCGAGCTCAGGGACTGCTCGTTGAATAACCAACCGATTTCGCTGATGGCTGGGTTGGCCTAAAAAGTAAGACATTTTAATCAAAAAACTGGTAAACAGTGTATAAAATTGAATTTTTAAAGAAAAAAGTGATTGCATTAGAAATGTTCAACGAATACATGAATGAATATATTGGATGAGATGGTAGGTTCCGGCTCTAAAAATTTTTATGAATAAACTATTTGATAGGCAATGCTAGGGCTATCAGTACCAGGGCTATGAGAAAGATTCAGTCACTACCACCATTCATATGACTATCAAATGAAATGATAAATTATGGAAAAACAACACAAGAATTCATCGATAAAGGAATTTATGCCATCAATAATAAAAGTTATCGATTTTCACTATACTATATATTTTTGATGGTCTCTCTCTCTCTCTCTCTTTCTTTCTTTCTCTCTCTCTCTCTCTCTCTCTCACTCGCAATCGGAATATGTTTTGATCGGAACTACAACTTGTGAACCACTACTCACTTGAATATTGCACTCGAAGTAGACATCACTGCCTTCGAGGATTTCCTGGTGTTGAACGCTGGCGCCCAAAATCAATGATAATAGTGGTGCGTCTGTATGATAGTCACACCATAACCATTAAAAGTGATAGATATCGGCCGCATTGGTAATGAGAGAAAAAGGGTTCAAATCTTATTTATATCTAATTTACGAATATATTTGTCTTTATTTAGATCGACCGCTAATTTGTTAATATTTAATAAATAACTAGTTGATATGAAAATTGTTCAATTAATTAGGGGAAAGGCATACATAACACATTGATGGTCCACCCGTCCTCTAGTTTAAAGGCTGGAAACGTGGGGTTAGTTGCAGAGCAAGACAATGCCTTTCCATTATCTTCTACTGAAGGCACAAACGCTAAGAAATTAGTGGTAACGGAGCCGTCGTCTGAAGTACTTTCGCCGATATGTTCCATAAGAGCGCCTCCTTTCCACCACTGAATCTTGGCGGGCGGGCGCGACCCACTCGACTGACACACGAGCTCCAGGCGCTCGCCCGCAGACATGTTGTACACAGGAGTTAGGATTCGCACCTCTTTGGGCTTAACTAAGATATCCGACACACAAAACATGTATTAAAATTGTGTCCAACTTTTATACAACTATACAAAAAATTCACTAATAATTAGATGTAATGCATAACTGAATGGGAACTCACGGTTGAGATCAATAGCAATGGTCTGGGATGCAGGCACTGTTAGGTTAGTGTTGGACGCCTGACAGGTCAATACCGTCATCAAGTCGTCTCTGGACAGCTTCGGCAGTTGTATCACATTTCTGATGAACCCTTTGGGAGTCGTGAAGTAGCTCTCGTCAGCGATGGTCGACCCTCTCCACCACTTGACCACAGGGGGCGGATTGCCTGTCAGTGCGGGTAATGCAGTGAATCAATCAATTGAATGCCGCACCAAAACACAGCGCAAACAAAAAAATGGTTCAAAAAACTACATCTGTTTTGGCGCTAAAAGATTATTATCTTATGTAAGACATCATTAATCTTGAGATAAAGTGTACGGCAAACGAAAAATAACATATAAGTGAAAAAATAAATTTATATTATTTAGGTCTCAAAACGGGTAACACATAATGAAAGCAGAAGGGGGAGGGTAAGGGGATAGGGGACAGGGGAATGGTAGGCAAAAATAGGTTGTAAATGAAATTAGCAGTGTATTTATCTGGTGGCCAATGATTACCTCCATCTGAATCACACGTCAAATTGACGGAAGAGTCCTCATTGAAAGGGCCGGCGATGTCACTGATTCTATTGCCGTCGACAACGATGACAACTTTGGACGCAGGCACTGGTAGTTGGATATAAGCGCAGCGTAAATGGCCGGGCGTGTAATAAATCGTGACATGAAATACACACAAACATTAACTGGACGTCACGTTTCAATCAAAAGACACACACTATTTGTTGGTTGCATTATCTAAAGAGCAGACACAGAATATTCTGTACTCTGTGTGGAGTAGTCTTTATAGCCATATATAGTAAGTATAAACAAAAAATACAATATTCTGTTCCGAAACGCTATATATTCTTATTTTTTGTGACGCCAAAAAACTCTTGAAAATAAAACTTCTCTCTTATGTACTCTCACGAGAATTGACTTTAACTGCAAATCAAATATCAAATACAGTGAATGAGAGCACTGGTAGTAGAGGGGGAGGAAAGGGAGAGTGTGTTAGCGATGGAGGGAGAGAGTGACTGGAAAACTCTTTTCGATTATGTGGAGCACATATTATTTGAGTTATTCTCTCAGCCATTAGAGTAAATGAAACATAAGTTTGTTTTATATAAGTTATAAATCATATCTCTCACAGAATATTAGACTTCGAGCTAGCTAACTGTGTTTGTGTGTGCTTCCATACATAAGATTAGACATTGAAAAACATAGTGCACTAGTAAGGCTCCCGAAACGGTATTTATTTTTTGGTCAATTTCTCAATTCATTTAAGTAATAATTAGTTTAAACGCTTTATTCCACACATTAATGACTGTAAGAGAAGCGAAAGCAGTCATTCAGTCGGCACTCAATTCGTTAGTGTTTAGGAGTCTTAGGTCTGAAACTGTGAAAACAAATAATTACCTCCGCCTCTGATAAACGAACCCAAAAATCTTTCCCATTCAGTGAGCAAGGTCTGCAATCAACACCGGGAGCTCAGTGAGTGGGCATCACTTGCTTACAGTATTGTAATTAATCGCGTGGATAATAAAGCAAAAAATATAAACTGACTAGTATAAATTCTTATCAGCGTTATATGGGTTATATCATGTTATATAAACTGTTAGCATATTGAAAGGGTCTAGAAAGAATTTAATAATTAAGTTGTTAAATGACTAGTGGTGGTGACCCCTGTGTATTGTCTACAGTTTACTAACTTTTCTTAACCAACTGCTAACGAGTGGCAAATTTTGGCACAAAAGAGACTTTTTAGGGTCAAAATGACTCAATAAAGCGAGAATATAGTGTTTATTTTCACATATAAATGACATTTTAGTTTTTTAAGTGTTTCATTGAATGATTGCCACAACAATACAGAGGATATTATTGTTATGTTATTCTCGACCCTCTAATACCTTTCATGTAATTCTGATGCCATTATTTGGTTTATTGAAAATATTCTATGAGTTTATTCTGTGCGATAAGAGAACATTCTGTATATACAAGTGTTATATTAAACAAACAAATGATTGAAATGAGAGACAAATAAAAAAGATTTCTATTATTCTTTTGACTGACTTTTCCTCTTACTCTTCAATAACTTTATGTAAGCAACGGATCAGAAATTAAAACACAAGAAAAAAGTCATCTTAACTTCATAAGACAACACAACACAGGGTTATTGATCGATACATACAGACTACCAGTGCTCTCATAACACCAAATATCACATATAATAAGACTAATAGTTTCTGGGATTGAATGGCGATTCCTAAAGACGTGATCATTGTTTTAATGGCAAACAATATCTATAAGTATAACGAGAAATTGTTTGTGTGTTTTTTGCTTGATCCTTTAATACCTATTACGTTGAGTTTGAGTATTCTGTTAATGGTTCGGGCGCGCCGGTAGTCCACTCGGCACCGGTACTCTCCACTATCATTGGACAGCACCGGTTTGATGCGGAGGTAGGACATGGGGTACGTTATGTTGAATACGGCCCGCGAGCCCATTATCTCAGTGTTTGAAAAGTGTTTGGCTTTGTCCAGGTGTACGATCCGGGCGTCCACTGTATAGATAGGATTTCCCGTGTCGTCCCTATACCACAACACCAGTGACACCCCGTCATCATATGTCGGCGGCGTTACGTTACAGGGAAGGGCTATCTCGCCGCCCAGTACTGCACTATAAGCCGGAGAATCTGCAAAATAAATTGAATTTTTCTCGTTTCAAATCTGAGACATTAACTGATAGTTTGTATAATATATTAATAAATATTTTTTTCGTTACATTATATCTCTTATAGTTTTGTTAAACGAGCAAAAAATTATTCTTCATTTTTCTCTTCATTTAACTCATAGACCATAAGACATGTGTTTTTCGGGGATAAATATTATACGTTAAAAGCGAAATAACAACAAAATAGTGTCGTTTAGTCGTCTAATCAACTAATTGTGAGCGGAGTTTAGCCTCAATTTTATAGACGGGATATAAAATACATTTTACAATAAATTCCCGAAAAACAAAAGCAAATGTGAAAATCAATGCTTATATAAAAAGAGTATACTTTTATATACAGACATAAAGTATCGGAGTTTAGACATAAACGCAAAGTTTGTGTAACAATGAGGACAGGGTTCTGAAAAATTTTGTTGTTTTTTCACGACTTGGTGTAAAGTATATAAGTTATATGTCTGAGCCGTTAGGATCTATTAAACGAGAACTAATTTGTTTAAATTAACATTTAATGATAGCCTTAAAAAAGTGAATTAACTTATTATAAGTTTGAGTTACGTTTACTCAGCGATGGTTTTACTCTAAATTTTTTCGCTTTGTTTTCCACTTGTTTCTCATGTGAGAGAAGTAGAGAATAAAACTTTTATATAAACTTTTAGTCGAAAGAGAGAGAGAGAGAGAGAGAGAGAGAGAGAGAGAGAGCTTTCTGTCCTTTTGTGATAATGAATTAATTGTTTGGAAACGAAAAAACCCTTAAAACAAGTATTAATACTTATTAAGAGTAAAGATACCATAGATATCTATGGGATTAACTCAATTGAGTCTCATTAACGATATTGGTGTGCAAACAAAACAAAATAATAATAAATATATGTATTATATGTTAAGATTAGTTCACTCTCTATATGACGGGAATTAGTGTTTGACTTTCTTATTAGAATAAGGAATCCATTGAATACAAGTACTAAACAATAATATTGGCCTCAAATGACCGATAGTTAGAGAAAGGGTTTAAGATTAACGCAATTTGACTGAAATGATAAATAATGACAGCATTGGTGTTGTGTCATTGGCATCACTTTACTCCATACAATACAATACATAATTTCGCTATCAAAATGAAGGGGTAACCAGCATACATATTCATAAATTGATGTATACACTGTACATTATTAAAATTCTTGTGAATATTAACATTAGTTTTCGTAACATTATTTAAGTAAATTGAATAATTTAACAAACAAATACAGTAAACTGATAAACAAATGACATAACAGTGTTTGCACTGTAAGACTGATGCCATATGTGGTGACCCCCTATAATGATTGTGAACCAGCTTTTATAGCTCAGACACACATAAAGTCTTTCTCTCCTTTTTATGTGTCATATTATGCAAACTCGACTCAACCTAACCTTCACTTAACTATTAAACAAATAATTTATTTCGTCGACAGAATATACGGAATATATGGAGAATTCCTTTCAATAATAGTCTGCAAACAATGGATTCTATGATATAATGGTTGGGGTTTTGTCGTCTACTTCTTGTCTATTCTCTCTCTCATTTCGCTGCCTATTGATAGGCCAACCAATTAACGGTCTGTCCGTAATTGTGACGCCTTTTAACCAAATTAAGCCTTTATTCTGGAAATCAGTCGAGAAATGAGCGCTAATTTACTTGTCATCTCCTATGGCTTCACTCAATAGACATACACTCTATGCCGTGGAGTGAGTGCACCGATAGGCATATGATAATGATTTTGATGGCTATTGCGATGCAATGGATTGAAAGGTCTGCTAATTGATTGAGATGTCAATGAAATCAATCGGAAAATTGGACAAAGATTGCAATTAGAGGACCGGTAGGCGCACTACACTATTATTATAATAAGATTTCAATGACTTATTGATTAACATATGAGACAATGGCTTATACAAAGTATACGTAAATAGTAATGCATTTATATTATAAATTAATACTTAATTTAATACAATTAAAAACAGTATCCAATATTAGCTTAAATGAGATTGGCATGAAAATAATGTTTTATTGTAAATCAAATATAAAATAGTATTATTTTACTAATGACTTAATTAAACAGTTAATACATGCGAGGAGTGGCCGACTCTGCACTGAATTACCATTGAATATAAGCATTAAAGTGTAATTCATTAAGTATTTGAATATTAGTTTGTTTTGTATTATCGGATATTTTATTAGATATGACTCTCATTAGAGCTAATGTCCGTTCATTAGGCCACTTATCGATCCAAATGTCATTTTATTTGCTAATATTGTATATGAGTATCGTTTTAAATATTGAGTTAATGTCTACAGAAGTTTAACTTAAATTGCAGACTAAATAGGAGTACGATTTGCTAAAAGTAAAATTACTTTTATATCAGGGCATAAATTATTTACATAAATACACTGTATATTTATTTTGTAAGTTTAAACAACATGAAAAAGTTAAATAATATTTTTGAAACTCTTTTTCCCTATATTTAAGCGTAAGATAAGTCGAAAAACTTGTATTTTATGAATAAATCAAATTATTCATATAAATATTGCATTAATTTTTATTTGTTTTGCCAAAAATAGTCATTTTCGTAATTTTACATGCATCTTGATACTTAATTCATAGCAAATAAACGAATTCAATTTTGTTTGTATTTGAAAATTCCAGTGAATGCTAGTTTGTTATATGAAAACATATTTGATAATAAAAAATACTTTAGTCCCATAATAATAGGACTTTTAAATAAAATATTATAACATTTTTATGACATCTAATCTAAAATTTAGAGTCAATTTTCAAATCTATCATTAATGCAGTGGCAAAGGCCTTCACAGAATATATTCCCCGCAGAATATTCTGTTCATCTTATTATATATATACTGTCAGTCCATACACTTGACTACCAGTGACTTTTGATCCAATGTTTTCACATCCAAGTCTTCTGCCAATAATTTTTTCCCTTTGCCTTCAATTTCATGCTTTTGAATATATTGGCGATGTTTTGAACAGTTTTTTCTTTCGCTCAAAAATAGGAAAGACTTTTATTATAATATTCTTGATTTGATTTGATCTCAACACAAAAATCACTACTTTTTTGGTTAAACATTTTCAAGTATTTATTTTAATTTTTGGTAAAATACTCCCAAAAAATTTAGTAATTATGGAGACATTGTGGTGGACATAATTGAGTAATTTTAATTAAAATATTTCTCATTATCCAGTACAGTATTATAGAATCAAAAATTGCAAAAGTTTTCAAAGTATTTTGGCATCAAATATAAAAGCATAAATTTTATTTAAAATTCTGTAATACATTGTATATATAGACATGAATGACATGCCTATCATATGAGGGAATCTCTTATTCTCTTTTATTTAAGCTATTCATACGATTCATATCATGTCTATGTGTACAGTATATCGAGTTTTTTATATTCACTACTACTGTGTTGTCAACAAATTTGATCAACTCTTATATGATATGATAGACTTATGTTGTACTGTATAATAGTCTAGTTTTTTGTGATGAAAAAACTTTTTTTGTCCAAACATATAAGTGGAGTACATTTGCAATGAAAACACGCGAAATATAACCTAATATTAGGTAATGATGTCGAATATATACTGTATTATGTAACTTCTCATATGAACTGATCAGGTATTAAATATATACGGGAAATAATATTTAATGAATGCATTTATATATAAAGAATGCATTTAATATAGGCTAGCGATTAATCATAAGAAACAAAACTATTTCTATTCATTAATTCCAATGCATTTACAATCGTATCCCAAATCCAATGAATTTGATTATGGATTCTGTGTTTTTTGTCTTTTATATAGTGTTTCACTCAAACGAACATTAATGGTAACAATGGGTTTATACCAAAAAACAAAATATAATGTTTTAGATAACTTCACAGCACATTAGCTTTGATTTGAATTAACATCAAATGAAATATAAATTTAAAATTCTTTCTTTCTTTCTCTCTCTCTCTCTCTCTCTCTCTCTCTCTCTCTCTCCACTCAATCACAAACACTCTTTCAAACTCTGGAAATGAAACGAAATCCTAATAAAAACATATTCACACGAATCGATTGATCGATTCTCACGTACAGTATATATATTTATTTGACTCAAAAATTGTTGTGTATTTTACAATTCAATTCCTGTGTTATTCCGCTATACAATTGACGAGAGTATTCACTCTTTCTCTCTGTGTTTTGTAGTCAATAGTAGTCGTGAGGAATGAAATGTATTTTTATGGCATTATTTGCGCCAATGTTTTAGTCGACATATAGAGTGTCCCCAAAAAAAGTGACAAATTGTTTGTTATTCATTCAAATATTCAAACGATAAATTCCGGGCATGTGTTCAGCACTAAAGGCTTATTCAACCGTATTTTATAAGACATTGATTTTTGCAAAAGACAAACATTGAATTCAATTCAACACAATATATGCAAATCACACGATATATAGTGAGCACAGAGTTTTATAAATCTAACATATATGCGAAAAACAATAAAAGTATTTTGCGCAATTTTATTAACTCTTATAAATAAAAACCTATTATAAACAGCAGTTTATAAATCATGGAAAAGTGCGATAAATAAATCAAATTTTAGACTTTTATTCGCGCATTAATAGTGAAGTCATAAATTTCAATTAAATCTTAATGAACACGTTTTGACATTTTATAACTCATTATTAATTTAATACGAAAATCGCTATAATTTGATTGCAATCATCGCCTTCAGGCCGTGGATTATATACGCGCTGTTAATACTGTCAACAAAATATATGCACTCATTTGCGATGGCTATTAGCGATGTAGACATTAAAATATTAAAAATATAAAAAGGGATAAGTTTTGAATACATATTTGCCATAATATGCCATATTATATTATAATACCTGCTCGATCCTTAGGCACATTCACTAGTGATTTGAGTTTAATGCCGGGAACTCCTATCGGAAAGGCATAAATGTATTGAGATTTAGCATTAAAAGTTCAGTCAATGTTACGATGCAATGCTCCAACAACTCATTGAATGGGAATTTTGTGTTACAATAACTCTCGGAGTGAGTAGTGATGTAGTGATGGGTCGCGTATAGAAAGTCAATGTTATGTATGAGAGGCGATGTAATGGAGGTTTGCTTTTAACCCAAATGCTTATGGATGTTAAGTAAGTCAATATAAGTTAGTTTATATCTACGTTCAGTACGTAATAAAAAAAGCTGTTGATTTATAAGTTTGGTTACAGACTGTCGACGATCCAAATGACTGGTAAGAGTGAGTGGAGGGCTAGTAGTAAGCCATCGATTTGAGGCCTAGTACTCGCCCGAAGCTCACTGTATATATGGACACATAATATCTATAAATATATACATTACATGTAATATGTCTGTCAAGCGATGCAAGTATTCACGAGAGAATTGGCCGTCAATTTACTCTCGACTCAGTATTTTGGGCCCAAAAATACGAAATCAAATCAAACATAAAAATGTCTTAAAATATTAATAAGTGATGATATGATGGCATCAGCTGTTCGTCGAGTGTTTGCCTTTGAAATGCAACTCAAAAACAAGATTATCCGCCACTCTATCAAACCCATTGTCTTCTTCCTGACCTCCCTCTCTCTCTCCCTATCCCTATCACTCTCCTTATTCTTATAGGGGAACTACAGTATATCTCTGAGTACTTCCAACTCTTTTATATTTATGAAATACGATAATAACAGCGAAAATCCATCGTTTCTATTGTATTGTATAATTGGAGTATTCAATCAAATAGATTAGAAGTAATGTAAAAAAGTCTTAAATATTTATTACAAAAATTCCTTTTTATAACCTTTTCTATTATGCATACATTGAATTGAAAGCAAGAATTTCGGTGAAAATACACTATAATATCATTACAACTATTGATTTGTTGTGGACTTCACATCCAATGTTTGGATTGAGAGCTGAAAAATTCACATTCAATTGAATAAATTTAATATAGAAATATAATTTTACAAATATTTGCTTACATTTTAATATATAATTCTCAAATAATTTTTATTTATATTCGAAATATAAATTTATAACCTATTATATGGAAACATAAATAACAAAAATTGTGAATTTACAATTTTGTTACACATATTTGTTATATTAAAAATATTTTACTAACAAATATTAATAAAATTTCACGGCATCCCTAATTTAATTCTCATATAAATTCTTAATGTTACCCTCCATTGATTAATCCAATTTACTTTCTATTGATTGAAACATTTATGTCAATTAGCCAGGTTAAAATGCGAATTACAGTTTTATACCCCAAAAACCGGATTGAAATATAGCTTAAAAACAACGTGAGTTGA